ACAAAAGCCCACTCCTAATACCTAGGGAGTCGTTCTAGGGTAGAAGCTTCACAGGGAGCTGCTGGGTGACCCTACCCTTTAATAACTCATTTTGTAAGTTTTTGTTCTGACCGTGTTTGCAATCATCCGTTTAACAGGCTGGCCTTGCTTTTTCACGGTGTCCTTGGACTGGGAATGCTCACAAGCACGGATTCCACTTTCAAATCCCAGTTATACTACTGTGCTAACAGGGTGGCTTCCGTCACAAGCCTGCCATGTAATATCGCCCCATATTTACGTACCCGACGCGCTGGATGGACCTGGACCACACTATGTGCGTTTCTAGCCTGTGCCAATCTTGACAATACTCAGCCCCATCCCTGGCTTACAAAGAAAAAAATCAGTAACCTTCACCTTTGTGAATTTTGTCATTTTAGGAATGTTTTATAGGGTTAAGTGAAAATGCTGGGCAAATGGTATAGAGTAGTTCACTTTGCAAGCTTCCATTAGATGCTATCAGCAAGCACTTCCCCACCAAGAAGAGCTGCCAATAAGCTCTCTCCCCCTATCTCTCCATCTCCCTCCATCCAGCCTCTCCCCACCCCAGGATTTCCTCCCTCCTTCCCCAACCCTCCCCTCCTGTTCCCCTTTCATTTAGTTCTCTTATGCAGAGCAGCTGTGTGAACCCAGGGACTCAGCAGTGAGCAACCCCTCTGCAGGGACTCACAGGGCATATCACCAGCTTCTCCTAGGAGAGCCATGAAGCAGGCCCACCAGAGACACGGGAAAGTGCAGAGACCCCAGCCAGTCCCCAAGACCTTGAAGAAGTCACCCCACATCTCTGTAAAATGAGGACTCAAAGGTCTGAGAATGCTTCTAATTTTCACATTCTATGACTTTAAGTACTAGTGTCAAAGACTCTCCTTTGACCAAAACTTTGTTGCTGCTCCTTTGCGTTTCCTGCTTGCACAGGCCTTGCCTTGGACTACCCTGTCCTTGCAGAATTCAGACTTAGCAAGAATCCTGCTAAACCGGGCACGGTGGCTCCCACCTGCAATCCCAGCACCCAGGAGGATGAGGCAGGAAGATGAAAAGTTACAGGCCAGGGCTGGGGTAGAGCACTTGCCTAGCAGGTGTGAGGCACTGGGTTCGATCTTAACCACCACAGAAAAATAAAATAAATAAAACCTTTGTCCATCAACAACTAAAAATATTTAAAAAAAAAAATCCTGCGAAGTCATTCTAGGGGAAACCTCCCACCCTGATATCTGACCTTCATATAACTCCCTGGCCTGCATTTACCAAGAATGCTATCAAGTCAGTTTAGCCAGAAACCCTTTTCCTTTGAGGCTTCCTCTTAGTAATCTATCCCATGCCCCCACCTTGTTCCCTTGATATAAATCCCTCTTGTCCTTGCTGGAGGAGGCGTTGAGTCCAGTCTCTCTCGCTGCAAGACCTCCAACCACCACTGCCTGCCTTACCGTCCTTAACAAAAGTCAGGCGCACTCATTTTTTCCTTTAACGCTACTAAGGCAAGGCCAAAGTAATTATAACTGAGGTTGCTATGGTTTGGCTATTAAGTGCCCCTCAAAGGCTCATGTGGTAAAGGGTTGCTCTCCAGGGAAGTGCTGCTGGGAGGTGGTGGAGCCTTTAGGAGGCAGAGTCTAGTGAGAAGTTCTGAGGTCACTGGGGGTGTACCTTCACAGGGGACTCTGGTCCCTTCTTTTCTGCTTCCTGTTCCTGAGGTGAGCAATTATGCTTTCCCATATGCTCTTGTCACAACGCACTGCCTTGTCACAGACCCCAAAGCAATCAGGCCAACAGATCATGAACTGAAAACTCCAAAACTGTGAGCCAAAACATACCTTTTCACTTTATATGTTGATTGCCTCTGGCATTTTGTCACCAAAACAGAAGGCTGACTAACACAGATGTACAACTAACTCTCAGCTATCCTGACACCTTTTAGTTTTAGTTTTAAAGAATATTAAATACTTGGTCACCATCCTATTTTTTTAAGACTCCCACACTCTGTTAAAAAAAAAAAAAAAACCATTCCCAATTTGAAGCTTTACTTCCTCTACTGGCTTTGGTCCAACCCCTCAAAGAACATGATCTTTAACTGCACATGGATGGGGCAGAGTTGTCTTCTTCACAAACATAGTATTATTATAAAAAAAAAATGAGTATCTTCTAGAGAGAAGAGGGCTGCTTTCTATCTTTTTTCAATGAGCAAACAAAAGTTGCATAATAATGTGATCAGAGAGTAAACATCATACCACCTTATTTTCATTTTTTTGTTCAACATCTCCACCAAAATACAAAGCTATCAGAAATTCATACAAAGTGAGGAAATCGTGATAGAACATCAAATTCTGCTTACCTTTGACATTATCTTACTTAATTCCTAGAGAGTAACTCTCACATAGTTAAATAAACAATGAATAATAAAAACCTATACCCAAAACTGTGTCCCCAAAGACAAAGACACGAGAATCGACGCCTGCCCGCTAAGCCTGGCTTGTTTTGCCGGCTTTTGTAAACTCTCTGGTTCTTTGGATAAAAAAAGATTATCTATCCCCCAAACCATCACAGCATCTCACGAGGATAAATAGTTCCTGCCCCTGAGAAACAGGCCTCCTCTGTCAGCTCCCCCTTAATTGATCTTAATAGGCGACTGTAAATGAAGAGGAAGGGGGAAGCACGGGCCTCACACACGGTAATCATCTGTAATTTTCCATTTGAAATGTCCCTGAAAAGAAAAAATAATGCCAACACGGGCAGATGTGAGTGATGTCAGGACATCAGAACTAGGGCGTTGGGCATAGAAAAGTAACTAGACTATACAGATCTGCTTGAAGGGGTTTTCTTTTTTAAGTAAATTTTTTCTTTTTCTTTTTTCTTGGAAGTTTTCATGTCAGTGAAAATGCAGAGATTGTTGAGATGTGCGACGAAACGGAATTTCACTGTCTGGAGGCGTCCGGCACTGTGGCCCAGGGCTCCGTGCGGCAGACTCACACAGACTAATACTGAAGGTAAATGTGGTGATTCTAAGTGAGGAAAAGGAATAGAGTCCCCAGCTTCTTAGCTTTTGGGCCCCCCCTTTTTGACAACTATAATCCTCATGTTTTAAGGGTTTTTTTTTTTTTTTTTAATCAGTCATCCTTACTTAACAGATGAGAAAAAGAAAACCCAGAGGAGGAGTCACAGCTCACAGTGGGAAAGCAAGGGGGGGGTGTCACGGAAAGACCACTACTCTTTATTTCACTTATAATCTCATTTTCAATCCTGACCAGTAATGATACTTCCCTTAATCAACCAATGATCTATCTTACTCTCTCCTGTCCTCGATAACTAATCCTGAGCACTTCCTGTGTGCTATATTGGAGTTATTATAGAAATTAAGATACCCTCAGCAGAGAAGAACCGTGTTTTCTTGATGTTTCAGCAATAACACCAGGTGTTACCATGTTTCAAACACTCCATGTATTTTCACTCCATAGACGTTTGTGATCCCCCGTGAGACTGTGTGTGTATGTGTGGAGCCACATGGGCCACAGTGTTCGTACATCTTCTCAAAGTGTTAGCGGTCCAGTCCTGAAGCTGTCCCGACTGTTAATAAGAAGCACCCAATGACCTCGTAGCAACTGCAGAAAAGGACAGTCGTGGGCTTACAGTTGGGAATGGAGAAAGAAGAAAGGTGTTAGCCCATTAACTAATGGGTAATAAAAAAAGGGGGGGGAACGTGGCCAAGACCCAGGTAAGCAAGGACAACGGGGCCTCTCATGTTGGACACATGCAGCCCTAGATCAAAATCACACCCTGCCAGGGGAGAAACATGAATGACTTCTGCATGTGGCTCACTGGAAAGCTCACAGGGCCTCAGTCCAGGTTTACAACGACCGGCACTAGGAGCCACTCACTTTTTTGCATTCATGATATAACAACTTTCCTGGGAATCATTCACGTTCATGGGGACATACACAGCGTTCCCAGGGCAGCACAAGCCAGCCCTACTGACAGGCAGAGAATGGGACCTTCAGAAGATGGGGAGCCACAGGAGCTCTGGTGGCATCAGACTGCCAGAGAGTGAAGGGCCTTTACCCCTTTCATTTACATTCTTCAGCATCCTTAAAGAACAGGAAACATCTTGGACCATATTTGAAGTGCTTAGGAAACCAACTTTGGAGACTGCATTCCTAATAATGGTATCTCTGATATCAACCAAACACCAAGGGAATTGAAGTTATTTACACACACAAACATGGCTTTGCGTATACTTCAGTATTCTAGAGTACTTTACCTTACAGTCTGATTGTTCCTATAGGGAAACATCCAATGTTTCACCTGGATCATTTAGAGCTATTTTATCAGCACATTTTATAAATTATTGAGATCTATTAAACAACAATTAAACTTGACAAAATTCCACAAATTCAGTTTTGCCCATCATTCTTCTTCTTAGTTTACTGCCTACTTAACAACCTGCTTATTATGTTGTGGCTATGTACATTTTTAGGTCATCATAGAAATAAATCATAAGTGTTGACTAAGTTTCTCACCAAAAATGAACATTTTTTTTTTTGCATTATCACTTGTGGGTATAGATATCAGAATTTCACTCTATTTTAGGTTTCAATAAAGTCAAATTATGGTAGCCATATTGCAATCATTATTCAAAAATAAGATTTTTTTAAAAAAAGAATTATGATGTTCTCCAAGGCTTTACCATTGCAAATCATTTTAACAATAAATGGAAAATAATTGTATTTTACCACATTCTGTTCAACCCTAACCACAAGCTTGCATTCTCATTTTGGAGAGGAGAATACTTCTGTGGTGAGAAGTTCAACAAAATTACAACAGGACACAGCATTTAAAGCCAGATCTTCCTGGCTGCAAATCCAACTTCCATTTTTAACTTGTTATTATACTCAAAACCCTAAACAAATTAAAGTATTACACTACACACCTTAAATATAACAAAATCACACAAGCATACCACATGTTCTATTTCATACCTTTAATCCTCTGAAACTTCCTGGGCTAGTTGGAGAAGAACTGGAGGATTTCGTAGATTTAGGAGTAGAGAGTTGGCTGCTGGGAGTTCCATTAACTGACCATGAGACAACAAAGGAGATGAAAATCATCAAAACCCCAAACAATCAGACCCTGTAAAAGCACTAAGTACATGCACAATACAGCTCCAACCAGCTCAAAGCAGATAGCAACTCAGCAAAAAAGAAAAAAATAATGTATTGTATTGCATTACAGACAAAGGGGGGAAAAAAGGACAATAAGTAAAACTAGAATCATTTTCAATAACAATTTTCCAGCAGGGATATAAACAAATATATAAGACATGATGGAACTGGAGGTGTGACAACTTGTCCATATATCCCGCCTGCCAGAAAAGATAAATGACTGCAATGAATTACCTTGAGGGTCCTTCTGTGACCTCCAATATCCCCCTCTGTCTGGGTACCTACCAACCTGAATGACCAAGAAGTTCCTGGGCTCACCCAAACAACTCCACCCTAACCCAAGCACATTTTCCAAATATATTCCCTTTTATGGAAGGGATACTAGGATAGACCAGGGTCTTACATATGCAAAGTGCATCCTTTACCACTGGGCTACACCCCAGTGTATCCTTAATGGGAAGGGAAAATTACTGGTTGTTTTCCTTGAAATATTTACTTACAGCCTTCATGCAAATGAAGACATTCTTCAGCTTTCTTTTTATTGAGGCGAGTTATTTCTAATCCCTTCTTTTTTTTTTTTTCCATACACAGCTTCATTTCCCCCACTTTTTAGCAAATCTTGTTCATTTTCTATCCAGTCCCTCCAAACCTCCATATACTTCATTGGTAGAAATCTCAATTTAGATCCTATGCTAGGAAGAGTTATGGCCACCACTGTCTTCAAAGGAAGGTTAATTTGCAGATTCTGTTCTACAGAATGCTGACCAAACCCTTCAATACCATCCATGCTCATTCCTAATCATACCATCTCCATCTATTTGTGTAGTGATTTCACAAAGCTGATAACATCTAGAACTAATATTTTTTTTCCTAAGGACTATTTACAATCTTTTATTATTAATCTCCAAAGCTTTTGCCCAAAGTAGATGAAAACTGCCATTGATGTTTATGGAAAGAAAAAAATCCATCTACCTTTCTTTTCTTAACATGTGGGAGGAGACAATGATTATTTTAGATAATAAACATAATATGGAAATAAACTATTTTAGATAGAAGTAAGTATTAAAAGTCAAATGCAGAGGTAAGTGCTGACTTAAAAAGTGAGCACCAATCCTGAGGAGAGGCAGAAATTCTGGATCAAGAAGTATTTATGCTGAGATGAATCACCTATAAACAAGGAATCCATGTTTATGAAATCATACTTGTTTACTGTATGGCTCATTTTAAACACTCAGTAAACGTGACATTTATTTCAGTTATCTTTAAATTTCCAAACTACAATTTCTTTAATTCTAAACTACTCATTTAGTTATCTAGATTTCCTTCAAAAATATATGTGGTACTTAGAATAAGAGTTCAACACAAGTAACCGCACAATTGAAAACATTTGAGAGTAGTTAGCCAGGTGTGGGGGGCACACACCTATAATCAATCCCAGCTATTCAAGAGGCTGAAGCAAGAGGATTGCAAGCTTGAGGTCAGTCTAGACAACTTGTCTCAAAATAAAATTAAAAAGGCTGGGTGTGTAGTACAGTGGTAGATGGCCCCTGGATTTGATCCCCAGTATTCCAAAAAGAAAAGGAGGGGGAAAAAAAGTTTTCAACAAGGCTGTGGTTGTAGTTCAACGGTAGAGCACTTGCCTCGCATGTGTGAGGCACTGGGTTTGATTCTCAGCACCCATAAAAATAAATGAAATAAAGTACTATGTCGGTCTACAACTAAAAAAAAAAGTATTTGCCAGTCCTTGTTATGGACTGAGGATGTGGCTCAGCAGTACAGTGCTTGCCTGGCATACATGAGGCCCTGGGTTCAATCCCGAGGGCGACAATAACAATATATATGCATAAAAACAACAAGAAAACATCAGCCCTTGATATTTCTCAATTTCAATTGCTGTTCTTTAAAAAATTTCCTTTAAAGAGTAGAGCACAAAGGATTTTCTTCATGATTTTATAATGGAGGATACAGGCCATCATGAATGTGCCCAGGGTATAAAATGCACATCAAGAGTGAACCTTAGGGCTGGGAATATAGCTCAGTTGGTAGAGTGCTTGCCTCGCGTGCACAGGGCCCTGGGTTCAATCCCCAGCACCACACACACACACACAAAAGAGTGAACCTTAATGTGAACCTCAGACCTCAGGTGACGATGAAGATGTGCTAACACACTCACCAAAAAAAAAAGGTAGGGATTGATAATGGAGGTCCCATGTGTTTGGAGGCAGGAGATACACAGGTAACCAGCATTTTCTGCTGGATTTTGGTGTTAGGTTAACCTAATACTGCTCCAAAAAATAGTTTCTAAATTAAGAGGATTCATATAAAAAAATGAGATTATTATAGGTAATAAACTAGTAACTTGCCGTGAGCCGAGCCTGAATTTTACTTTTTTCCCCAGTGCTGGGGATTGAACCTAGAGCCTCAGGTATGCTGGCAAGCACTCTACTGTTAGCAACATCCCAGGTCTTTTAATTTTTATTATTTTTATATTTTATTCTATTTTTTTAAGACAGGAACTCAGTAAGTTGCTGAGGCTGGTCTTGATCTTGTGATCCTCCTACCTCAGCCTCCAGAGTAGCTGGGATTACAGACACGAGCCACGTGCCCAGCTATTTTAACTTCATCCCACACAATAACTTGTACAGGTCACCGGTCCCTAATCAATCAGCTTTCACATTGAAACCAAAGGCTTCCTTGAAATGGTGACAGAAATGGGACTAAAGGAAAAATTTTAGAAACCAGTTCTTGCACATGAAAAAGAACTAAAAATCCACCTGTGCCTAAGCCTTTTTTTTTTTAAATGTTTTTAGTTGTAACTGGACATTATTTTATTTATTTTTATGTGGTGCTGAGAATTGAACCCAGTGCCTCGCACATACTAGGCAAGCACTCTACCACTGAGCTACAACCCCAGCCCCTGCAAGCATGATTTCTTAATAAAACTTACTGCAAGGGACTTAATCCATGTCATACCTACACATACATACTTTCCCAAAATAATTCTCATCCTAAAAAGATACTAGTCACATGTAGCCCTCTCCGTTTTCAACAGCATTTGGAAGGTCCTAGAAATATTCACTAATGAGTCCTTAATCCCGTTACTTGAACAGTCTCCTGAGAGCTGGGGGAGGTCAATGGAGCTCTGGACACAGGTACGTGGTGCCCTTCCCATCACTGGTACCCTTGTACACTGCTGAAAGGTGGGCAAGGCCAGCCCGCACCTTCACAATGCTCCTATTCCTCACTCTTTCTGATTTTCTCCTCAAAAATTTATCCTCCTCCCTTCAACTTATGAGGTAAAGAGAAATTTGGGAGGCTTTGTTGTTTATTTCTTTGCTCGGAATACTCTCTATCTTGATGGACTATGAAAGATTCCCAAGCAAAAACATGGATTTTTTAAGACTCTAATTATGGTAACTGCTAACCCATTTATGTTATCCACATTAACATCCATGTGTTCATAACACATTGTTTCAGATGGTTTGATAGGGTCTTGTTGAAGACTGGAGTGGATCGAAGATTTCACTGGAAGCAGAACTTCTGTTCCAATATCATGTTTACAAAGCTACTATCTCTGTTTGAAATTCCAATTAGTCCTTTTCCTTTTTTGGGGGATGGGGGAATGGGGGATGAGACCTAATTTGTCCAGGCTGGCCTACAACTCCTGGCCTCAAATGATCCCCCAGCCTCAGCTTCCCAAGCCACTGGGACATACAGGTGCACACCACTGTGCCCAGCTCCCCTGGAGTTTTTTAAATAGCATCAGGTATTCCAGAGCTAAAGTGGTCAGCAATAGCAAACAACACTGCTCCCGTCACTGTGGCCTCTAATAACACAAAGCCCTCTCCCTCTTGGTGATGGAAAACGGGGAGAAAGCACTGCAGGGCTAAATGCAGCAGCTTCTTCCAGAATCCCAGTGAAGTGCCAGCAGATGACTTGGGCTTTTGGTCGTCTGACTGCAGTGAGTGCACTCTCTGAATCGGTATCTTAGACCGCCTGCCCTCTGAAATGTGATTTTAAAATCTCAAAACTTTTACCTACGAGTTTGAGGCCTCCTCTATCCAAATATAGATTCATTTGAAAATTTCATGTCCTGGAACGTTAGTGTTCCTTAATCAGCTTTTAAGAATTCCAAACTCAAGTTGAAAAGAATCATTTATGCAGTTATGAGGTCTGCAAAGCAAATGCAGCAGTGAGACGTTTGTAGTTCAGTGTGTTAATTTTCCTCTTTGGACCTCAGGGGGGACAAAACTGAATTAATTACATCTGATTCTTGGACCACTCTCTCTAATTATACTGATGTGATAAATATCTGTAAACATATCATCTAAAACAAAACCCAGGAATCTAACACTAAGTCTAAATCTACCATATTACTTGCTGAGGTCATCATATTTATGCAAATTTCATATTAGCTTTCTGAGTTTCAGGATAGTTTACAGAGAGCCTAATGCAATTTAAAAGAAGGTGAATGACAGAGATCTTTGGTAAAAATACTCAAGGTGCCGGCTGTCAGAGTGTGTGGAGCCTGTAACTTTATGAAAATCATTGGTTTACAACTAGAAAGACCACAGCACTGCCTCCTCGTGTGCACAGGAAACACCTCACAGTCCTACTCTGCTGGCAAATGTTACTATCAAGTACTTTGAACTCTAGGGTTTTAATGATTCCTAAGTGCTTAGCCCTGGTGGCAGGGAGTGGGGCAGGGATGAGGACAGAAAAGTACGATTGCTTCTATGGCGACTTTTGTATCTTCAACAAACCTCATCAGCCTATTTCAGTTAACAAAAAAAATTCCAAAATTAACTAGAAACAGAGCCCCTCGAGGGGACCGAGCCTCCTCCATCCCTCTGAATTTCAGCCACACAAAGACAGGCAGGAGGCACTCTGATCACTGGCTCTCACTGGACAGAGGGGGCCACGTCCTGCACCCTGTGAAGCATCTCACGCTGCCAGATGCGCATGGGAGGAGGCCAGACACACTCATGGAAATGGAGCAAAAAGAAACAGAAATGGAGCAAAGACAGAAACGGAAGCCCAGCGGAGCGACACAGCCATCGTGATGGTGGCTCACCTGGGGACTTGGCTGCAGAATAGGCACTGGAGTGATGGCCTCCCCTCCTGACTGCACACGCGCAGTGTACACAAAGCAGGAGGAGACAGCAAGAGAGCGGTTATTCAGCAGGTGTAAGGTGCACAGGAAAGAAGGGTGAACAGCCTGCCCCAAAGAAGGTGAGGGAGGTGCTTCGGGGGAGCCCCAAGGGGGTGGGGAGGCCCAGGCCTTCCAGAGCTGGGTGCTCAAGGTGGTCCACTGATTCCATTTGCTCCTGTGCTAGATTCTCCCCCCCAACCCCCCCCACGCCCGTTCAATAGTTTTTCATAATTCTTCCCTTAGTGGGAAGTGAAACAAGCAAAATTATTCTTAATTACTATAAACAAGCCCAAAGAACCAATCTAGTGAGATATTTGTGGATATTTTTTATTGTTTAAAAAAAATGCCAAAACAGTCCAAATTATGACATCTATGGGCTTAAGACTTGGAAGAAACTTAATTACAGAGAAGTCTGATTCTTAAACAAGTACAACTTCCCAACAATGGTCTTGTTACTATCACATGGCTGGATGAAGAAAAGACCACTGGAGATTGATCAAGTAAATATATTTGTGTGTGCAACTGGGTGTGTTACAGCAATAAGAGGAACGTTAAGAAAATAAATATCCATAATTATTTAGTACAAAATTAAAAATGCAGTACACTGTGGTCAAAATGTAAATAAATACCAGAAAAAGATATATATAAGGCTATTCTTGAGAAAATGTGTCAGAACAAAAACACTTCTCTCGGGAGACTTACAACTTTGGAAAACAGATTTGACTTTGGAACTTTAAGATATTATCTATATGCTGTTCTGGACCCTTGGCTGTACACAGCCTGGCAAAGACTACCAGCTCATGAACATTAAAAAAAAAAAAAAAAAAAAAAAACGGAAGGAGAATGACCTGCCCCTTCTGTGCATCCACAACTTTTCTATTAAGTACCTGAAGCTGGTGATTTGCTGCGACGAGAAGGCCCAGGGCTTTTGGATCCTGAATATTTAACGGCTGAGGCGCGAGAATAAGATGATTTCAGGACACGACATTCTAGAAAGAAACAAAAGTGCACATACTAAAGCAGGGTTCCACATTGGCCAGAGGCATATCATATGTGACTACAGTTTTCTGTCTGTAATGATTATGGGACGATTTCTCTATTATTGTTAAAGCTTTTTTATGGGGGGGGGTGCATGCTGGGGAGTAAACCCAGGGATTCATGCATGCTGGGCAAGGGTTGTACCACTGACCAACCCTCAGTTCTGCTAAACTTTAAGGTACAAAGCAACTGCCCCAAACGTACACCTGAGGTTATCTTCAGTTCCAAAACCCCAGTATCCCACTAACTGGAAACACAGAAACATCCACAGCTCATCCCCACATGTGCAACATCCTTTATAACCAGAAGCACTGACGGGCAGAGACTAATTTATTGTCCTCTCCAACTCCTTGATGACCTTATTTGAAAGGCTATGGGATGCTAACTCAAGGACTCTTCCTGTCTTATTTTCCCAAAGTGTGAAGCATTAAAAATGAAAATAGCTTTAAACAATAACTTAGGTCTTTCCATAAATTGTCAGTGTTTGAAGTACCAGAACTAATTACAGCTAACATAATCACTTCTAATTTGAATAACTAAGAATATGGGTTTTGGAATCACATAGATTTGGGATGAATCATGGATTTGACATTTACTAACTGGGAGACTTTGGTTATGTTCCAATAACCAAAGTCAAATAAAATGTTCTCAGTATTTTTCTCTTTTCTACTTTTCCCTAGTTGGAATTAGAATAAAATCTGCTTCACAGGCTTGTTATAAGGATTGAATTAGATAACATTGTCTACACTTTAAAATACTTCAATTTATGCAGAAATATTAAAATATGGGTTAGTTTTAATCTAAACCCTAGGGGCAGTAAATTAACATGTGAAGTACACTAATCAGAAAAATACACACCAGGGGAGGTTAGTTAGCATTTGAAAGACTCTAATCAAAACCTCATTGGAAGGGTAGCTACTTCTGCTTGGCTAATTGGCATTGTGGGTGTTAAAAAGTGTTCCTTGTTGAAAAGTGCAGTGTGTGGACCAGTTAGAAACATTTTAAAGGCGCTGTCACTCTTATGAGCAAGGATATGTCAATATTGAGCCAATAACTTCAGAACTACACTTTGGGTGTAAGAATCAGAGCTCATCCTGCATCCAGCTCTTACTAGGGGATCTGTTACTTGACCAAGATTAGGTTAGCTGAATTCCAAGGATCTTTACTGCAAGAAATTGTTAGAAGCCTAAAAAGACAGTTAGGACTTCAAGATCACAACACAAGATAAACAACTGATTTTTTTTAAACTCCTTGCCTCCTAATAAATGCACTTGTGGTGAATCAGGTCTGAGATTTGCTTTCACTGCAAAACCTTACCATGGAATGGCATGATATTTTCAGGGACAATAGCAGCAGAAGATATATTCTCTAGCATGTGACAGACACCCTAGCTGCCATGACATGCGAATTCCCTTAATCCTCACTAAGCCTTATGAAATTATCATTATTCTCCTCTCTTTGGAGCAAGTAACTAGAAATTGAGAGAAGAAACCAATAGTTCTCACCTGCCTCCTACTACTGGAAGCCACTGATGGCCACCAACAATGAAGGATCCAACCAGCTCAGATAAATTTACAACATGCACCCAAAGCAGAGTACAGTGTCTGTACACACACAGGAACAAATGTTCTGTTGCTGATATTATCCAAATACACTTCTCTTTTGTAATACTGGGGACCGAACCCAGGGGCTCTACCACTGGGCTGGATCCTTAGCCCCCAACCCTGGTTTTTACTTTTTTGAAATAAGAGTGTAATGGTTTAGATATGAGGTGTTCCCCAAAAGCTCCTGTGAGAGACAAAGCAAGAGTCTTCAGAGATGAAAGGATTGGGCGGTGAGGGCCTGAATTTACCCCCTGATGGGATTAACTGGGTGGTAACTGTAGGTAGGCAGGGTGTGGCTAATGGAGGTGGATCCCTGGGGGACGTGTCTTTGGGGTTTATATTTTGTGCTTGTTGAGCCCTCTCTCTGCTTCCCAGTGTGTTGTCTTAAAGGTACTTCCTTCCACCACACTCTTCCACCATGATGTTCTGCCTAACCTTGAGCCCAGAGGAATGGAGCCAGCTGTCAATAGACTGAGACCTCTGAAACTCTGAGCCCTAAATAAACTTTTCCTCCTCTAAAATTGTTCTTGTCAGGTCTTTAAGGCACAGCAGAAAAAAAAAACAAAAAAAAACAACAACTAAGTCTTGCTAAATTGGTAAGGCTGACCTCAAACTTGTGATCCTCCTGCATCTGCCTCTAAATTGCTAGGATCACAGGTATGCAGCACCATGCCCAAAGACACTATCTCCCAGAACATATCATTTAGTTTCAGTGTCTTGACTTTCAAAATGACTGCTATTGACAAAGAAATACTATGAAATTAAAGCTAAAATGGAGGAAAATGTAAAATATAGTTGACAAGTAAATGAATATCTCCATCAACCTCCATCTCACAGGAATAAGGGAGAACATTATCAGCAGAGATAACACAAATGAACATCATCTACAATTAAGGACCTTAGAGTGGTGTCACCAACCTAAAGCAGGGGTGATGCTCCAGTAGAATACAAAACAGAAACCCTTTAAGAAATGTGGTAGAGGAGAAAACCAAAACAGAAAAACACAGATAAACCATCCACACATGGAAATTGATACAGGATAACAGGAAAGAACGACAAGAGATTACGGCCATGTCAAGTTTTAAAAAGCACATGTATCCCTATTTATTTGGTGATGTATTTCTCTAATTCTGAATTGTCACAACCCCTCAATTGGAAGTTGTCTACCATTCATTATTTTCAGAGCCAACTTTCCTCATGTATAAAAAGCAGGAATTTATCTCTAATTTTTTTTCCTAATATTTTATGCCCTATTTAAAGAAGTTGACTTCACTATTAGCCAAATCAATCATTATTACTGTGATAGGTTTAGAATAATTAGGACTATAAAGCCCTATTCCTAGAACATTTGAAATAACTGAGATAACTTCTATTAGCTGAAAACTCCAAATACTGGCTAAAATCAAGAAAAAGGGATCTTTTAATTTCACCCACAAAATAGCCTCCCCCCAGGAAATAGATACACAAAGCGTGTTATTGTTTCTCTTTCAAAGTTGCAACCCAAACAATGAGGTAAAAAGAAACCTCGGATCACCGCTAGTAACTATTTGGTTATTTTTATTTTTTGTTTGCATTTTGAGACAGGGTCTTGCTGAGCAGTCTAGGCTGGCCTCGAAAGTCCCAGGCTCAAGGGATCCTTCTCCCCTTCAGTCCCCCGAGCAGCTGGGACTCCGACGGGTGAGAGCCACCGAGCCCAGCTCATCTTTCCTCAACACAGTGACCTCTTAACATGTGTGTTGTCTTAAAGGTGACTAAATCCCAAGCCTTCATTCCCGGGGTTAGAGCCGGTAGGAGCTGCCTTACCGCTGTGATCCAAGACAAAGTCATCCTGGGCGTAACGGAATTTTTCAGGTCCACATGCAATAAAAACATCATCATCGCCAAAAAAGTCCTGAAGACAAGTAACCTGAAAAAAAAGAGAAAAAAAAAAAATCACACCCAAGAAATCAGAAATATTTTGGGGAAAAAAAAGTTAGCAAAATGGAAAACATTTTCTAGCCTCACTACAGTACTGAGACGGAAGAGGAAGCTGCTCAACATCACACCACACTCCCCACACCAGGCCTTCACGAAGCACTTTCCCGCACACTCCCGACCCCAGACCTACACCGCAGAGGGCTCTGCAGACCTCGGTGCTCCTGCTGGACAAGTGAAGTCAAGCTGCACTGGCGAGGCTAAGGGATTTTTGTAAACTTTTTTTAATTGTAGATGGACACAATACCTTTATTTCATTCATTTTATGTGGTGCTGAGCCTTGAACCCAGTGCCCCCCACACGCTGGGTGAGCACTCACCACTGAGCCTCAACCCCAGCCCAAGTAAGTGGGGTTTTTGTTCAGGGTTCCCCAATGGATGGTGGCAAAGCTGGAGTGGCTTTCAGTTCTAGGGTTCTTTTCTCTTCTGTCCTTCCCCTTCTAATACTCCAGTTCCCTGCTGTGTGTGTGACCTTGGGCATGACTCTTCTGTACCTCCAGTACAGTGCCTTGGGTTGTTCTGAAGATTAACATGAAAACTGCTCTGGGATTGTACCTGGTATAGGAGGTGCTGGGCCTGTTAACACCCATCTCTATCACGGCCAGGATCCCATGAAAGTAGTGGGAGTGTGGCTCCAGTGCTCTTCCAAGGCCCTAACCCTAAATGTGAAGTCTTCATTACATACTCAGCTTTCAAAAGTTCTCCCCCTCTGTACTTTATCAGTTCAGACCCCAGAGAACCTGGATTCTGGGGACAAATCAACCCATTCATTCCGGGAGTAACAACTGGAACCATCTTTCAGGGCTTTGGACACGGATGGGTTCTACTTTCACCTTTCACCTGTTTTTCAAAGGGACGTACGATTCCTTCTGTAAAAAGCATTCCAATCCCCGTAAAAGTTTTAACAAATTGCTTTAGTACTTAGAGGGACAGAGCAGTCTCAATAATCCTGTATGTCTTCATCATCAGCTTTTAATTGGAGGGGAAAAAAACAACACCTCATTATAGAATCAGAAAACAAAGCTCCATGGAGAAGAAACTAGATAAGTTCTAGATGACTCAGGTCACAGTATTCAAGTGACCCTAATGACGCACCCTGCAACACCAAAAAGTTGCACAGACCACGGGTGGAGCAGGCACGGGCGGACATCGCCCACTCCTCCTGTTCTCACCAAGGAAGTCCTCCCTTCTGTGCTTCACCGCATCTCAGCACAGGCCACACGGCATCCGACGCCCCCAGGAAGAACCCTCTGGTTCTGGTTCCCCGGCTTCTTTCCGTCTCAGCTGGTGAGGGCACAGGCCCTTCACCCACGCTGGCCTCTTGGGGGTGTCCTCCTCTCCCGTCGGCACTAGGCCCCCACACCCCGGCTGTTCCAACTCTTAGAGGCTCTTGCCTGTCCATACTTCTACTCTTGGTTCACACGCACCTTCTCCTGGCCTGGACTCCCGCCATGGCCTTCCCCCTCCACCGGCCCCCAAGTTCCCCAGCTCCAGCCGTTACCGTCCTCAGGGTTGGTGCGCCCAGTCTCCCACAGGCACCAGGGCGACCACACACCATCTGCAACCCTCAGTGGCTCCTTCCTTGATAAGACGAGGTCCCCCGTGGGCGCGGCCTGCTCACCCCTCACCCGCGTCTTTGCCGTTTCTTTTGTTCACTCCTAGTCCCGTCAAGCCTACTTGGGTCCCTATCTGCACAGTGGTGGGAGGTGGTTTTTTTTTCCTTTCTTCAACAGCTTTATTGAGATATGATTCACGTACCGTACAATGCACCCACTCAAGGTATTTAATGTATTCAGAGTTGTGCAACCAAGACCATGATCCATTTTTGAAATTTTCACTGCCCCAAAAAGAAACTCCGCGCCCATTAGCATGATGCCCTTTCCTCATGCCCAAGGGCCCATAACCTACCTTTTTTTCGTTTTTTTGATACTGGGAATTGAACCCAGGGGCTACATCTCCAACACTTGAGACGGGTTCTAAGTTGCCCAGGCTGACCTCAAACTTGCGGTCCTCTTGCCTCAGCTTCCAAGTTGCTAGCATTACAGACGTACATCACCACGCCCAGTTCCACAGCCTACTTATCTCTCTATGAACTTGACTATTCTAGGTACTTTATATGAATAGAATCACACAGTATGTGACAGTTGGTGCCTGGCTCCTTTCACTTGGCACACCTTCAAGTTCATCTGTGTTGGAGCATGTTGCGGAGTTTTATTCCTTTCCATGGCTAAATAATACTCCAGCGTATGGATGAAGCACATTTGTTTGTTATCACCCACTCGGTGATGGACACGTGGGCTGCCTCCACCTCAGTGCTAGCTCTTGCCACCATGCTGTCCCTCGGGCTTGTTTGATGACTATTTAAACCATGAATTCTGGGTGGGCATGAATGTTTCCTATTCATGATCCCCTAGGGCTCAGGAGAGCTCTGGCTTTGCTGTAGATCTAACCCCTGTCGCTGGCTGAACTGAGGTGCAGCAAGGGGTTGCTCCTCTGGGACCCGAGTACAACACACAGATAATTTCTCCAAGGCCAGGGGTACCACGGCTGCGACCTTCATGACCATCATCGCCTCCCAGGTTCAGGACTTGGTGAATCACCACATCACTGAACTTCTCTGGATTCTCTTTCCGTATTAAGAGGTGCATTATCTCATTATCCCTGCAATAACCCTATGACACTGACACTATGGCCACTCCTCATTTACAAATAAAACACAGATCTAGAGAGAGGAACGTGCCCTCACACAGGGAATGAATGAGTACACTGGAGTTTTTGTGGCGGTCCTGCACTTCCACATCTGCTTTCATCTTTTTGGCTGTCAGGAAAGCCACCCCCCACCCACCATGGCTCGGGGGTTGAACCCAGGGCCTCCCACAAGCTAGACAGGCTCCCTCCCCCTGCATTACTGGGAACGCCATGCTGCGTTCCCTCATCGGGAATCCCACAGTTCATTTCCCTATTTCATTTCACATTGTTTTCTAGTGATTTATGTGTACTTTATATTTCCAACTGTTTTGTTTTTTTAACACACATTCATTCAATGAATTACCTGAACCTAGTTTTACTTCCTTGGCTGAGTAAAATAAATATCATTGAATTTTAACCCAATATTTTGAGAAAGAAAACTTCTGCATTAAAAAGGACTGAATTTTCTAAAACACACTTGAATGAATATGTCTTTGTGAAAAATTGGTTATTCATTTTTTTTT